AAACCCCGCCAGCTCATGGCTCCGGCCAAAAACAGACACTGCAAAATACCTAAGCCTAAACCCTTGCACCAACCTTTCCAGATCATGCAAAAGATGAGAAGAGACAACGGTAACGACGACGACACCATCACCACCACGACGACGATGCAACAACAACAACAACAACAACAACAACAGCAACCACAATAACAGCAGCAGCGGCAACAGCAACAGCAGCAATCGTAACAACAAGAGCAAGAGAAACAGCAACCGCAACAACAGCATAGTAATGGCAGTAACAGAAGCTTCAATAGTCGTAACAGGTCGTAACACGTACTACAGTAGTCATCGTCTTGTCATAGGCCCTCACAGTCGTAATAATAGTAAAAATACCATCAGTGGCAATAATACAAGTAGTAATATTTGTGAGTGCAGAAAAGAAAAAGTACTAGTAGTGATAGTAGTTGTAATCGTAATAACGGTAAGCACAGTGAAAACGGTAATTAGTGTAAGCAATCACCAGTGATCAAAGCAGCTATGACAAGAATGACCGTAGTAGTAATAATGGCAATAGTTGTCTTAGTAGCGTTGGTGGCAGTTACTGGTGACAACAATAAAACTAGAAATACAAATCGCAAATATACAAATGACAGTAATGATATGATAGTAAGGCAAACGAAAGCAGCAATAATAATGGGAATAATAAGAATGATAAAAAGAAGAATACTCATATTTGTCGCAATGATGGTAATAATAATGGCAATAATAAAAATAATGATAATAATAATCATAATCATAATAATGGTACCAAGACTGAAAATAGTGAGAAAAAATGTAGCAATAACAGTCAACAATAATGATAATACTAACAATGATAAGACAAAAGCAGTGGCAAACATATGTAGCGCAGACCACCGCTCCAAGCCTTTTCAATCCCGGGCCCCTCCCCATCCCGCCTTCAGGTCGCCAGTGATGGCATCTTTGATGCCTAAGTTCCGTCTTTGTAGGAACTCAGCTGGGGATATACCGTAGAAATCAAATACTATGGTAACTGGAACCCTAAACCCTAAACCCTAAACCTTGCAAATAAGAAGAACCCGGCTGCTTGACGAGAGCTTCAGGCCCAGAAGGGACCGCCGTCCCAGATCGGTCAATGCGCCTTGCAGATCTTTCAGCCCGGGCTTTTTGAGGGTTTAGGGTTGAGGGTTTAGGGTTTCAGGCGGCTTAATTTCACACCGAACTTGAGGGTCGGTTGACGGTGTTTAATCTTGTGCAGAACGTGAGGCTAGCTTTACTGTACTTAAAGGATCATGGGACTTAGTAAGTAGGGTTATAACTAAGGTAATTATACTTATAACCCAAATTAGGGGACTTATAACCTTACTTACTATGTCCCATGGTCCTCCAAGTAGGGTTCGGCTCGCGAGTCAGGCCCAAGGGTGACGGCCAGTAGCGCCCAGGCCGTGCTTCTACCCTCGGGTTTGGGGCTTAAGGCCTAGTGTAGAAGCCTCAATAGTTAGAATAAGGTTTTGGGTTATGCTCTACTAAATATTATAATAAGGAAACCCTAAACCCTAAACCCCAAACCCTGTTTCCCTCCTATTAATCCTGGCACATGCGTCCCCTCCACCACCCCACCCACTCCACCTCCGGCCCCTTGCCCTACCCGAGGCCGGCGACGCGAAGCGTTCACAATTCACAATTACAAGTATCTGTCTCTTGGGGGTGTGTTCATGATACATCGCAGCCAAACCGAGGAGAGCAGCGCGGTCTCTCTAAGTCTACGTCATGTCATAGTCTCGCTCAAGGCAGTGATCCAAATTACCGGATTGTGAAGCTTCTGGCATCCTGCAACATCCTTAAACCTGAAGCCCTGTGCTGTCGGCTTTTGGGTTTAGACCCTAAACCCTAAACCCTAAACCCTGTGTTGTCGGCTTTTGGGCTTAGGGTGTCGGTGTCATGGTCTAGGGTTTAATGTAGGGGCCTTTAAAATTAGAATAGGGCTCTGGGGTATATTGCGCTGTAATTACAACACAACAAGGAGCCCCAAAAAATAGTACAGAAAATTATTTGGGCCCCTATATTCCTGCTTAGGGGTTCAGTGTCCGGGCATTTGCAGTTGGATCTAGAGATTGAGGCAATTGGAGACAAGGCTTTACTCGGGGTAAGCCCACGCCCCACGACCCAAGCTCACAGCAACCGCATTCTTAATCTGTGGATGTGCAAGGTGATCAGCAAATCACCACCACACATGTCTGGTGAAACATAATGATGAACAGTTGCTCACTTCTTCCAGGTTGGGCCACAACCAAACCGAAATCCAGGGTCTCTGCAGATGCTCGCTTCCATTTGTTGATGTTGCCAGAACGAAGTCCCCACGAGTGTTTATAACCCAAAACTCAGAACCTCATTGTCAAACCCAGACACCGAATTCTTCGGGGCTGAGTACCCTAGCCCAAAAAAAGGTTAACCTTTTCAGTTATGGTAGGATCATCTAAACCCCAAAAAAGGTTAAAGGCTCCCTACTCCGCCACTAAGAATTGCCAGCTCAACCCTCGGCACCTGAGATGGGGCAGTCGCGCATATGGAGCTCCACCTTCAACGTCCCGTCTTCGCCATTCACGGGATGTTCTGGTGTGTACTGCTGTTTATATATATATATATATAGACACTTATGTGTTTAGAGATATACATCTCTACATACAAGTACATGTATATGCATGTATATCTAGGTGTAGATGTAGATGTGGATGTAGATGTGGATGTAGATGTATGAGTATGTGCATGTGTATATGTGTGCACATGCACATGCATGTGTAGGCGTACATGTATATGTATACATACGTGCATGTGTTATGTATGTGTATGTGCATGGGCGTATGGCTGCATGCATATACATATGTACATATATAACTATATTTATATATATATATATAGAAAATATACACACGTGTATTTATTTATTTGTTTTACACCCTCACTTCCGAGACCCAGGTTTTCAGGTAGAGCCGCGAGCTAGATTGAGGGTGGGACTGCTGTGTATATAAACTTAGCTTCAAGATCAAGACCCAAATGAACCAGAAGACCCACAAAGAGATCAACTACGACAATAAGAACAAGAACTTGCCGGTTCCTTCTGCGTGAGTGCGGAGCAGATCCACAATGAGATGTCCAAAGCCATGCTTAATTTCAACACCGCCCCCTTCAAGCCAACTCACAAGTCATACTATAACGAGATTGACTGGGTTTAGGAGGGTATGGCTCTAGGGGCTTTGGGTTTAGGGTTCTTGGAGGGTCGGGGGACTTAGTAAATGGTTGTTTTATAGACTTCTAAGTAGTATAACCCCAATTAGGGTCCCTTTTAGGGTACATGTAAGTCACCTATTACCGACTTACTAAGTCTCACGACCCTCCAAGTAAGGAGTTAACCCTAAACCCTAAACCCTAAACCCTAAACTACTTATTACCTACTTACTAAGTCTCCCGACCCTCCAAGTTGAGGCCCCCGACCAGGTGTTCTGGCAGAAAGAGGTCTTGGAGAGCGCCCTGCACACCTGGCTAGGGGTGCGATTAGGGTTTAGGGTTTAGGGTTTAGGGTTTAGGGCCGAGCTTGAGCCTAAAGACCCTGAAACTCAAATCACAGGAAAGACAGAGCCTGTCTGCTTCCTTGACCCCTTCTAGACCCCCGATCAAAACATGTGATGTCTCTAAATATTTGTCTAGTAAGCCCTAAACCCCTATAAGCCCCTATAAACCCCTATAAACCCCGAAAAAACCCTGTAAACCTCCAACCTGTGAGCTCTCTACATCCTAAACCCTAAAAACCCCCAACGAACCCCAAAGTAAACTTTTCCCAACCCTAAACCCTAAACCCTAAACCCAAAGAGACATCTTTGGCAGACTGGCGACCTGAGTCGTCTACGAAGAGGCCGCTGAGCTTCTTAAAACATCCTCGGAGGTCCAGCCAAGGTTGAGACTGTAGGGTTTGGGGTTTAGGGATTTGGGGTTTAGGGTGGGTTTAGGGTGGGTTTAGGGTGGGTTTAGGGTTTAGGGTTCAAGGTTTAGGGTTGAGGGTGGGTTTCGGGCTTAGGGTTCAGGGTTAAAGAGTTTGGGGTTTAGGGTTTAGGGTTCGGGTTTAGATTGCGCGTTTAGGGGTTCGGATTTAGGGCATGCTGTGCAGGCGCCGCTGCATTAATCTCTAGAAGGTTACTTAATTGGGCACCAAAAGGGTTACTATAAGGGTTCACATAAAGGCACCACTCCGAGTGGTGTCAAAGAATGAGTTGGGGTTTACGGTTAAAGTTTGGAGCTCTAAACCCTAAACACCAAGCCCTAAACCCTAAACCGCCCTATTGAACCGTAAACCCTAAACCCCTCAAGACCTTCTGGAGTTTAGCTCTCGAGCTTAGCAACGACTTTTCCGTGACACCAGGACCCGAGGAGCCAAACATACTTTCCACAGTATCATGTAAGCTTGTTTTAAGCCCCTCTTTAAGCCCCTCTTTTGCGCATTTAGGGTTCAGGGTTCAGGGTTTAGCAGAACGCAGCAGAGGCAGTATCTCAAGCAAACCTGAAGCGTAAAGCCTCAATCACCCCTGTGAAAGGCCTGTTAGGACTTCGGGCCCGTCTACACTTCAGGCGATGGCCCGTGACCCTAAACCCTAAACCCTAAAGTTTATACCCAACCTGAGATTTCAGGGACCATCCCGGGGGCCAAGGACCTTCCCGCAAGTATGGTCGTGTGAAACTACTTGGGTAGTTGTCCAAATTAGGGTCCCTTTCAGGGTCCTTTTTATAAGGGTGCCGTACTATATTGGGAACCTAAAAGGGGACCCTAATTTTGAAAACTACCTACTTTTTAGGGCCCTGAATGGGCTTTGCAGGCAGCTGTACCAAGACCACTACACGGCAGTTATGCGGATCATACTAAGGATGCTGACAACGATTTAGGGTCTAACAAAAACTCAAGCTTCGTACGACCTGGAAAATGGGGCTGCGGGCCTACGGATACGGCTTGCAGTTTAAGTGTAAACCTGGCTCGGGGACGAAACAATCAAGACAAGCTTTCCAACCATGACCAAGCATCGCAGCACACAGCTCATTTGCTGCACTGTGACCACCATCCCTTTCGGGGGAGGGTTCTTAATGGCCAAATTCCTGACCTCCTCCTCCTCGTCATACTCAAGGCTGAACTTACCATCTCCGAAGAAGATGCGCCGCTTGGCGACGGCCGTGAGATTGATCGGGTTCTTGTCGTCGGGTACCCAGATTCTCTTCAAGAACTGGAGAGCCTCGCACATGTTTCGGGATCTCAAGTACCCGGAAGACCTCATACGGACCTACACCCTTAACCCTAAACCCTAAGCCCTAAACCCTAAACCCCAAACCCTAAACCCTTAACCCTTAACCCTAAACCCTACCTACAGGCTTAGGGTTTGGGGCTCTTGCCCTTTTGAGGGTAGCTGCTAAGTTCGGATCTGGAGCTCGCATCCCCGAAACGACCTGTGTCGGAAACCTCTGGACTGTGGGCACCCAGCTTGGGGTTTGGGTTTCGGGCTTAGGGTTTGGGGTTTAGGTTTAGGGTTTATATAGAGTTTGGGGTTTAGGGGTTTTGGGCTTAGGGTTTAGCGTCTAGCTTTAGGGTTTAGGGTCAAGGTTCAAGGTTTAGGGTTTATGTTGAGGGTGTAGGGTTTGTGGGTACCCCTGAGCCGGACAGGCACGAGGTTTGCATGCAAGAAACCTCCAGAATAGCCTTCATATCCGTTATAGTAACCCTTATATAGAACCCTTTAAAGGAACCCTATTCTAACTATGAAGGCCCCTATACTAAACCCCCATAATACCCCTTATAGGAATAGGTGTTGTGTGCTTCGGCCTGATCTGCTTAGGCATCGTTCCATGAATTTGTCACAGGCCACGACGAACCTGACGACGACGATGCCGGGGAGAAACGCCACGACGATAACTACAACCATGCACGATTACGACTTCTTGGCTATTCTTGTTCAGGGGGTTTAGGGTTTAGGATTTAGAGTTTAGGATCTAGGGTTTAGGGCCGGCCTTGCAACAAGGAGCTACATGGGCTCCGTGCGAGGATCTCTGTTGCTCACGGACCTCCATAGCCTGTAGAACCCAGAATCCCTAAAGCCCGATGCACCAAAACCGAAAGACCCGAAACAAACCTCTTGCCACACAAAGTATGAAGTACCCATGTCTTCTCGATCGAAGGTGCAGAGATACGTACATCCTTAGCGCGCATTTCTATAGAAGGCATATAACGCCACACATCGGAGCCTTAAGCACATAAATGAACAGATAAAAAATCAATACATGAACATACACATACACATACACGTACACATACACATACACATACACATACACATACACATACACATACACATACACATACACATACACGTGTATATATATATATATATACGTATAGTACATATGTATTACATGTGTTTAGCATCAAGGAACAGTAGCACAGGTTAATACGGAGTAAGGGTAGGCCCTTCATTGATTTGTCCCTAGAGGAGCACCCAAGGCGTCACAGGAAGGTCCCGGTTTGGACAACGCATGGTTTAGGGTTTAGGGTTTAGGGTTTAGGGTTTAGGGTTTAGGGTTTAGGGTAACTCATGAAGGAAGACTCCCAGGGTGCCAGGGTTGAGGGTTTAGGGGTTTAGGGCTCTGGGGTTTTAGGGTTTAGGGTTTCGGGTTTAAGGCTTTAGGGTTTAGGGGTTTAGGGCTCTGGGGGTTTAGGGTTTCGGG